AATATTTGGGTCAAATGCAAAGGGGGGGATCACAGCAACCCTGAGGTCAACAAACCTCAGGTTGCCCTAACCCACTTCAAACTTTCTGACAATTGTCAAAACCGATTCCACATAATTTTTGTATAATTATTTATAGTACTTTGCTAACGATACACAACTAATTGAAACTAACCTTTTCAAGTACTTCATCTGCAAATCCAACTGAACTATTTTACAGCATCCCAAAATGACAATACGTTGGACTGGATTGGCCTGTACCCATTGGTATTTTGTTACATAGCTGAATTGACGTTGTCTAAGATAAGAAAGATTAATTGATTAGCTGCGTAATGCACCCAACTTTATTATTGTAAAAAATGACTAATGGCAGGTCATTTTACTCATTAAAGGGAGAAGCCCATCAAAAATCGCTTATGAAATAAGCCCTGGGCTTATATAGTCGGAGGTTTTAGGTACATGTATATTACCCAGTTAAAGGGTTAAACACATTTAATAGAAGTGAATTAAACAATATTTCAAAATACTGTAAGATATTGTTTACAATAAAGAAAATATCTTGTTGTGTAATTCAAATTACTACGTGCGACTAAACTGTATTGAATGGGACAATGTAATTGGTTAATAATTTATTCTTTGTATATAAAAATATGGCTTAACCAGATTTGGAACTTATACACAGTAGTGCCATTAGAACCTTAGATAGATGAACGTTCACTCATTCAGTCTTCATTTGAGGATGAATTAGACACATACATGTGTAATTGCAATCAAATTCGGTGTTAATTCCGTTGCGGGCAACATTGCATATGCAATATTGATTGGCTGATTGCTCTAGCAAATTTTTACATACGGCAACAGTGTTAAACCGCCACTGCAAAATGCAAAAATTCATAATATGATTTGGAAGCAAGTTTGTACACAAAATCTGACTGACTACTAGTACAAAACAAGCCAATCAAATGTTTGGCATCTGAAATTTGGGCACAACCTCTCAACAAATTGTCAACATGCCCAATAATTTCAACTGTACATAAAAATTGCAATTTGTTCACGTTGGTTGCAACTTGCCAGAGCAATCAATATTGCAATGTTGCTGGCAATGGAACACAGGATTTGACTGTCATTATGCTAGTTTTTATTTGAATTCAATACAACAACATGTCTCGGTTCCTGGGGAGTCCTCAAATTCGTTCCCAAAACAAAACAAAACAAAAAGCATTGTATCGTTGTCTAACTGATACCGCCATATAGTGAATGCACAAAATTAACCAAATTACTGTTGGATTGAATTCTCTTTAAAAATCTGTTTTATAATACAATAAACTCTTGAAAAGCAATTTAAAAACTTGGATAGATAAGGAGAGTGCTGTCACTCAATGTGTTAATCAGATTGCTCATATGTGTAGTTATTTACCTACAGTATTATGCCTATTTAAGCTGCATTGTGCCCTATATAAGACCTATCTCAGGCAAAATTGTGGTGTTCCCCTGGAAAAATTACTTGTACATAAAATTTTATTCCTTGCTATATAAATTTATGTCTTGTTATGTTTCAAATATATAATATTAAATGATAATTTAAAGTCACCGAACACGCCAAAATACTTTCTTTTATATTAAAGATGCCGTAAAGTCCGTTCTGCGCATCAGTTCTGCTCATAAAAATTTAATAGGGGATTATACAGCCGGTACGACCATATCCACATGACTATATAGTCGGTAAAGTATGCGAGTAAATGGCGACTGTCAGTCGCGCATGATGTATACTTCCAATCCAAACGCTAATCCTAACCCAAACCCTAATCCTAACCCTAATCCTAACCCCACCTCCTGGCCCCTGACCCCTAACCCCACCTGCTAACCCCGCAACCTAACCGCAAACCCTAAACAAAGTATTTTGTTTTCATTACGGACTTTACAAAGTTTACAGCATGTAAAATGGTGTTCAACAAAAACAAATGTAAAATGGTGTTCCAAAGTCGTATAATAATAACAAAGAAAAAATACTTATGGGCATGTGATTTACGTAGAGTTATGAATTAGGTAGCAACGAGATGTATTTGAACCAACGTTAGCCAAAATTGTCTACTGACTCTACGCTCCCTACCGAAGTATAGCTTCGAGAGAAGAGCTTTAAACTAACAAATATTACTGAAAATCCTTTAAAAACTTACCAATAATACAGGCTCTCCTTTTATTCAAACGTTGTCTGTTTATCCATGGTCGAATTTCCAGTAGAATTTTTTATAAACCAGTACAGTGACGAAGCGAAATTTCCGGCCGTCTTTCACAACAAATATAAACATCACAATAATGTTCTCTTTTAACTACAGAATCGTTTTCCCTGTCCATTGAGTTATAATTTCCAAAACTAACGAGTCGCCATAACGTAAAATAAGCGGGTATTTGTGAACAAAAATGCCCTTTGATGACACGAAGTATGAACCACCGTCCACCGGCGCTATCTTGTCTTCTCTGAAACATTACAAATTTTCCCGCCAAAAACTCTGTAGTGAAGAAGAAGTCCCGTATGAAATGACGTCACAGCACTACATAACCCGCGAACAGGCATACTCTGGGAACGAGAGACGTCACAGGTGTCAAAAAATATTTCAAAAATACGCACTAAATGCAATTTTTAAATCATTTACGTCCGCTATTTTCGCTTTCTACATATTGCTCGACCTAACCACAAGACTATTTAACCCATAATTGATTTAACCTAAGACTGTCTGAGACATTGACCTGTATAGAGCACTGGATGTCTGTTTTTCACGTTCAGAACTTACTTCATGTAAACCAAGTTTATTCTGGACTGGCTCAACAACTGATGGCCGCTCAAATTTTCAAACTTTATAACAAAATCATACCTAGGAGCGAAACTTCGGTATTACGGCTGGCGGGTGTGAGGTTGTTTTGCCCGACCAAAAGAGGGTGGGAAAGGGGGGGGGGGGTATGGATCAGGTTCCTGCCGCTGAGGACCAGGTCCTGGCGCTGAGGACAAGGTTCCTGGCGCTGAGGACCAGGTTCCTGCCGCTGAGGACCAGGTTCCTGCCGCTGAGGACCAGGTTCCTGCCGCTGAGGACCAGGTCCTGGCGCTGAGGACCAGGTTCCTGGCGCTGAGGACCAGGTTCCTGCCGCTGAGGACCAGGTTCCTGCCGCTGAGGAACCTGGTCCTCAGCATAGTCTTAATAAACTTAAACATAGTCTTAATAAACCTGTTATTATATTATTTTATGAGAATCTAGTTTTCCGTGAAATTGCTTTTTTAAGACAAGTGAATCGTGAAACGGCTTTTTTTTCGTTGTGAAACGTGGTCCTCAGCGGCAGGAACCTGGTCCTCAGCGCCAGGAACCTGGTCCTCAGCGCCAGGAACCTTGTCCTCAGCGCCAGGATCCTCGCTAAAGGCCTCCAAAGTTTTTACTCTTGTGCAATCGAGTGAGATCATATAAATTTGATTACCGCGTATCATGTTTATTATAATAATCACTATAATAATCACAGTTCACGAAACAGGCATCCTTAATTCTCATTTCACGGAGCATTTTTATCAACAATCACGCCTCACGGCTGTAGAACAAGTCACATTTCACCACACTAAAATCAAGCATTTCACATTTCACGCGAACAAATATTGACCATTCACGGCTCACGAAAATACCCTTTCCCACCCGCACCAAAAGGGCTAAGTCGTTCTAGCCTAAATTAAGTCGCGCCTGACGGACGGACATTTTCTAATTAATATTTCTTTCCCAAAATTGTTGGAGGGGTGGGGGGCAGGGCATTTTTCGAGGGGTTAAATAATGACAAAAAAGTAAAGGCTAACCCCTTAGTTTTATGTTTATTTTTTGCACCTTGTTTCATTTAAAATAATTTTTAAAATAATTCATTTATTAAAAAAATTGAAAAAAGTAAAGGCTAACGCCTTACCTATTCGCAGTTCGTCTACTTTCAGCCCCTTTTTTTCATTTAAAAAAGGGGATAAAAAATGGCAAAAAGTAAAGGCTAACCCCCTTATAGCTTAGACTCTTAGTTTCAGATTTTCCACACGCAATCTCTGCCCAATTTATTTCAACAATAGACAACAAACAAAAACAAAAGTTTAAGGTTTTTCAATTCTAAAATCAAAATAATAGAGTAATACTATGATGGTCTGCATTGTAAATGGTAAAGTCTTAGAGTTTCAAAGTCGATCCAGCATGGCGGCAAAACGTTGCCATCTGCATCTTTCTGTAAATGTTTCTTGCACTTTATGCATTTTTCGGAAAATAGTTTCTCATAATATGTTAACCAATTCTAAAAATAAAATGCACACGATTTTGTAATAAGAAATATGTCTTAAACCAATGGGTGGCAGGAGTGTCGCCTTGACCATAGGTAGCCCAACAATCACACCACCAAGTGACGTTCCATGCAGTAGTACAATTTCATGAAATGCCAATTTTATGAAATTGTACTACTGCATGATATATCACTTGGTGGGCTACCTATGCCTTAATTGACTGGTAAAATCGTGTGGCGCTAACAAAGTAATTAAGGTAATAAAGTAGGTGGCATCAGGGCGTATTGCAACTTAAAGCGTTAAGCTAGTATATATATTACGTAACAGTAGAAAGCTCTATGATTAGTTTTACTACAGGAGAAATAGCTCCGCTGTTTGGTTGAGTCATGTCCACACAGCTCACATGCATGATGGCTTCCAGAGGTGGAAATCTTGGTGGCCCAGCGGGGGCGACCGCCCCCCCCCCCCCCACCTTAACAGAAAAATGACGAATTTTCGGAAATTTTGACCTGAAAGACGGCTAAAAACAGTCTTTTCGAGTGCAAATGGGGGGGGGGGGGTTTGTCGGAAATTTGAAAGTTTTGTCGGAAATTTAGGAGGCTTTACCCCCTCACCAGAAAAAGTGAATTTCCACCACTGCTGGCTTCTCAAGTACCGGGATACTATGAGTAACTCAAACTTAGGAGTTGTCTTTTGGGTGACTTGTTACAACACTGAGTATGGCATTCCCATATGCAAGAATATTTAATTTATATTTTTGCTCACCAGTAAATTATTTAATGATTTTTTCGAGTCGCCACATTGACTGTAGTGAAAAGCAGCTGCATTTGCAATATCTGTCATCTGAAAAATAAAAACATATAACCACTTGTTACATTGTCTCCATTCAAATAAAGCAAAGGCTTCAACCTGACGTCATGCAGATTATAGAATTGGGAGCAACATTACCTTATTAAAAGTCTTGTATTTTGAACACTGCATAAATTCATCCTAAAATACACGACCAAATGAGCTCATTAATAAATTGTATTATATTCAGGTATTATAACAGCTAGTTGGAATCACATATTGCCTATTTTTTGAAATACATAAGCTGCCATATGGTTTAAAGATTTTGGTCAATTCTGTGTCAGATAAAAGGCTTTCAGTTAAAAATATTTTCATCTTTTCAATGTAAGTTCAGAAATGAAAACCTACTACTGTACAGCAGTGTTTGAATAATTACTATACCTTGTCTTCAGATGTTTCGTGTATGGCTTTGATCATAACTCTGTCAATTGTACATCCTCTTAATATTATTATAGCATTTAATGTAAGCTTGACAGAGACCTAAAAAATAAAAAATATGAAACTCCTCTTTAAAACTATAGTGTCAAACTCATTAAATTGCTAAGTCTTGTTCTATATGCATACAACAAGTGAACAAGAGGAACCAGTTGGATGCATATATAATTATAAGTACATACAAAAACATAACGTACATGGAAGGTTGCATGGAAACAATTCAATCAATACAGACACCGATATACAACACAACTCCACTACAGTAAATACTTTTAAAACAGACTATTTAACCTATTGAGCACCAGTGCTCTCCCCTTCACTAGTAAAATCGTCTGGCATTAGACAGAGTAAAATAAAAAAGTACTAGGTAGACCGGGAGCAGTCCCTTACTAGGTAGACCGGAAGCAGTCCTTCAGGAGGAGGAACCACCGACAATACAGATCAAGAAATGAAATACGCTCACTCTTCGCTCTTGTCAAGTTGGCTCCGCCTTTGCATAAACATTACTTATACCCAATTAAATCTATCCAATAGGAATCGTTAATGTCATGTTTATTTATAAAATCAACACTCAGTCAGGAAATTAATTTATCAGATTTGATTGACAGGCGTATCAATTTTTACCAACAGGAATTTTGCATTGTGTGGGCAACGCATATTTTTTCGTTTCTTGATGTGTTGTCGGCAGTCCCTTCTTTCCTAGCTTTCGCATGCCTGGAAATCTAAACCTGCGTAAAGAAGGGACTACTGGTTAACCCATTGAAAACCTCTTAGCTGTATGAGCAACATACCTCAAGTAACGAGACACCGGCAATCTTGTTCCAGCGTATTGTCAGTTTTGGAAACGTCTTCTTTAGTTGTTCAACAATTTGCTTTAAGGTGCTATCAAATAAATATAAATTTTGTGATGACTTGTAATATTTATAAATTCTGTATGACTTCACTTGAATGTTTATTTTAGTCAATTATACAAATACATTTTCCAAATTCTAATTAATTAATAATCTTACCTTTGAGGTACGAAGAGGTTTTCTTTTAAAGGTCTTTTCACGGCTGGTTCAACATTGTCACTGTCCAAAACATGATGTCTCTTCAATGACTCTGTTGCAATTTTTGCCTGAGCATTTAACTGCAGAAGTAATATTAAATGGCTAAGTTAAACGTCAAAACTCATTGCTGACATTCTTAATAAGGCCTGCAAGTTAAGGCTGGTTATTTTCAAGAAGGCAGCCTCATAGTATTCAAAGTTATTCGGACTCTCTAGCATTGTGCCTTCATGCACCCTACTTTATTATTTTACTCTGTCTAATGCCAGACAATTTTACTGGTCTAGGAGAGAGCGCTGGAACTCGATGGGTTAAATACCTTTTGTGTCCAAGAATAGGTTTGCATCAGTTGATCATGCAATGGAGTTTTATCCTGAATCGGGTCAGACCACAACAGACCACTCTTGCCGAGCAAAGTGTGCTGGTTGTCGAGTTTTGTTAAAGAGTTGCCAGTTTTTTCAAGATCACTGCAACAAAAGTTTCAGATATTTGCCTTTATGAAAAAACGACCAAATGAAAAATTTTTATTTAAAATTTGCATTGCTTTGCCAGTCGTGTTATTCCCTAGGAAATCCTGGTATTTTTGACAAATGTCATTGTTCCAGGGGTGTGGATACTGACATTTTTTTTTGAAAAATGTCAAAATCTCTGCACATTGCCGAGGCCTTGGGTCAGCACTATTTTCCATCCAGCAAACCGCCCTATCGATTTTCTAAAGTCGTTTCTTTTTGGATTTTTTTATTGGTTCAATTAGGGTTAGGGTTGCAGTTAGAGTAGGCATAGGGTTTGGGTTAGTTACATAGCCATTTAACACCTCTTCTATCTTCCGAAAATGACGTCAGGTCAGTTTGCTGGATAGGAAATAGTGCGCCCCCCCCCCCCCCCC